CAACCGCTTGGCAAAAGGCGCAATATGCTTAGAGATCTTGTGTTCTCCGCTGTATAACTTGATGTTATACAACGTCCACTCGCTATTGTTCATTTCTGCACATGTCAATGGGGCTTGTCTATTGGAATATTGTATTGTGGAATATTTTACTTTAGGTTATTGCCTTGAGAAATATTGTTTTTGGAATACTGCATTGTGGTTTAGCATGTCTAATGTTATTCGACAACGAATCATCGGACTTTGTGGTTAATTCGACAGGTTGGCAACTTCAATGAGCCCTAATTTTTATTCTATCTTATCCAAACGATATTCTCATTTTGTTAACGTTATCTTAATAGTAGTTATAAAAATCTCATTTCCAGGTCGTAAACATAAATGAATCTAACGTGCAACCTCAAACTTCGATACGTGTTCAAAATTTGCCGTGGATATTCAATGGTCCCAAGCATTTATGCTGAACGTTAAAGTATTCAGTAAGACATTCGACAAAATTTTTTTTAGCTATTTAGCACAGCCACAATCAACATTTTATTTTCCATTAGTGCCACAATTTCCATTCCATTCATGTCATAATCCTTGTTATTTACGTTCTTCAGTAAAAAACGAGATGAGAATCCTCGGAGCCAACAATTGAGATATACGTACGTCCCCGGTCGCCATTTCCATTATCCTCGTATTGATCTTCGTCGATATTTCTCTTTATAGTTCCATGAATATGATAATTAATTTTATTGGGAATGTGATAATTAATGTGAATAATGTGAATATGAATTTCCGTCATATTTCATTCCACAAAATATGACGGAAAGAATTTTGAACTACATTTCTTCATTGACTTTTTAATAACACTAGTTCTTTACGGATATTGTTCATTTAACATCATCTGATGTTCAATGTTACATATAATCAATCATCCTCAAATAATGTTGTGGCTTCACGGTGACATCATTACTAATAAATAACATATAAAATAGTCCCATTACAATAAGGGAACCATTTTTAAAATATGAAAATCTAATGATCTTCATTACAAATAAGCAGATCTTGTATATTATTCAATAAAATATTTTCCTGAAAGTAACCATTGGATTAGGACCAAAATATGACACAATGAAAACAGAAAATAAACATGGAATTGATATGAGAAAATATTTTTATTTATCAATAAAAGATTGAGTTTCTGTTATAACTAGCAGGAAACAATAAAAATCAATTTTACGTGAACATTTTTATTACAATAATTTCATCAAATTGGCTCATTAAACAAATTTTATTGCCTGAGAAAGTAAATGCACCTTTTCACAAGAATTTTATCAGATACACACCAAACGACAAACACCAATAATTACGCCAGATATTAGTACCCTAATATAACTTTCTTGCCCTGTAAGACGATCTTAAAGCAACCATGAAAGGGATAGAGATAAATACAATTGCTTGAGACTCTAGAGACCTAAGATTAAGAGTGCAAGAAAATTTTGTTCTAAAAAGGAGGAATGAGCATTTCTTGTAATATCTATTAACATCGTGTTACAATAGGGAATATGAGTGAATCTCGTAAGATTAATTAATATTATCTTACCAAGGAGAAGGTGAGTACATCTTTGAATATCAATTAATATTTTGTTACAATAAAAAAAGAATAGTACTTTTGTAATGTCAATTAATGTTTTGTTACAATAAGATAAGATGAGTAGCTCGAGCAAGTTATTGCGACAATTAAAGGTTGAACAATAAATCCAGAACAAAAGCCATTAAAGTGTAGGAAGCTTTATGGCTAACTTGGACTTGTCCAGAAGGCGATCTTAATTAATTATAGAATGCACGAGCTAGAGTAGAGAATGAAATTTTGTCTAATTAGCGAAACATGTTAACACTTTTGGTCAAAATTTTTTTAACCAAGCGCCTCCTATGATTCGAAAAAATTTTTCTATAAAGGCAGTAATATAGGATGAACTACCGTGATGACATGAATGATATGTGAGTCTTTTGAAACCTTTCCTATGAACACTCTTTAAGAGAGTGTTCATAGAAAAGAGTGTCTTTTGACACTCTTTAAGAGAGTGGATTAAAAATTCTTCGATGCCTACATATTCACCAGGTTTCAATATCATTGAGCCGCTTTGGATTATTTTTTCGAAATATAAGTCATCAAAATTTCTATTACACCGGAATCGCACTATCCTCTAGGCCGTACTTATAAAGAACAAAAGTCCAAGAAAAGGTGATGTAGAATATTCTACGAAAAAAAAATTCATTCTATAACTATATATAATTGGTGAAGTTTCATTTTCCAGCATCCGTGTATCTGTATTATTTTCTAAAGGAATTTTCTCATGGTTAATTCTAAACCTAGCTCAAGTTTTCCCTCGTTTTTACTGCAATATCCCTAGAACCCTTATTTTAGCTGCAATGACACCGTTATCCTCGTTTTTGCTGCAATGTCACCATTACCCATGTTTTAGCTGCAATGTCACCGTAACCCACGTTTTAGCTGCAATGTTACCGTTACCTCGTTTTATCTGTAATGTCACCGTTACCCTCGTTTTAGCTGCAATGTCACCTTTATCCTCGTTTTAGCTGCAATATCACTATTACCTTCATTTAGGAGGAGTATTCGAGCGCTGTTCATTTTTTAGGTATTAGAAGAATCAATAGCCTATGTTTGAGAAAACTGTTTGCGCTGTGATTTACGAGTTACAAGATTTAAAAATTTTAAATTGGATTATGACTTGAGGGAGCAACAGTTCAAGTAGTGAAACTTCTGAGGCTCACAACACGAATCACTTCTGAACCGTCACACAGTAATCATAAAGCCGCGATGTGGTGAATATGACGACGGCAAGCATCACGATGATGAACTCGGAGAAGGTGATGAGGGAGGCGCCCGTGAACAAGCCTATTTGTCCTCCTAGGGAACCTGTTCACAATAAAATTTACATTCAAAATAACATTATATTCATTGGATTGTCGATTATTCCTTTGCTACTAATAATTACCAATTATAAACGTGCAAGAAACCATATCATGAGTTCGTCATCATTAAGTTATAAGAAAATTGGAGCATAATATATCTTCACTAAGGTCTATTATTTCCGGCTAGATGTAATATGTACCGTGTATCGAATATATGTTATTCACAGCAAGCAGATCAACGTCAACATTAAGCATTCGAAGCTCGAGTAACAGAAGGGCATATTAAACATGATTCAGAACAATAAAATTTATAAAGTAAAGACTTACTAAGCAAGATCATGAAGTCTGGCCGTGACTGAGAGAAGAGAGTGTAGCTCAATTTCGTGTAGAACATCGTGAATGCGCCTTCTACGTAATAGCTAAAACAAGAATTTATTAATAGAATTAATTGAAAACTCGCAATTAGTTTTATAATTTTTTTTAATGCTCAAAAATTTTTCTATTAGCAAAATATGACAGATGTTAACCGTTCCAGGATCTAATAATCTCCTAACAACGATAGGCATCAGACTTCTCAATTTGTTACCAAAAGTTTAAACATATTTAAATTAAATCTGGCAAGTTATTTAATTTTATTAATTAGACAAAAACTCCAATTATTGTTCAGTTCACCTATCATTGCGCACATCCTCCAGATGATGGATCAACGGCGTCTTCAGCGTGGCATACGTGTAGACAGTTTCCTCGCAAGCGGCGCCGCAGTCTTTGAAGGCTGTAATTTATGTCTTGTTAGTTCATGCGGGCAAACTGGACGTATTTCGGGATGGCTGATATACGCTTGTAAGATTACGCACCATCAGAAAGAATGTTCAAAAAATAATGAATTTGTTCTGTCATTCTCAGAATTCGGATGAGCAAATAGAAAATAGAAATAACAAATTAAAGAATTTGAATCTATTCAAGTTTTTGTATTAATTGCTTAAAACTATAACGTATTTCATAGAGCCAATGAATCTAATGCTCAGTCATTTTATCTGTTCCCATCCTTTCTTGTGTCTATTTATTTTTTGATTGCTATTAATCTTACGTGTGACGTGCCCTCGAAGTTAGTTTGAACCATACACCACGATAAATGCTTCGTAGAATAATAAAATAATAATAATAACAATAACAACGTATTATGAACAATTCAAGAAATTTCGGTACCAAGTTTCGACAAACACTCGCATACTTTGGACCAATCGCTATGAACCTCTTTGATAATGACTTTACCAAATGTTCTGTCAAAAAAAGTTAAGAACTTGTGTCGGGAAGACATACTCAGCTCAACAGATATTTTGGAATTTTTTCATGTTTTATCGACTGAATTTTACTCCTTTAAATTTTTACTTCATAATATTTATTATTTCATTAAAATAATTATGTTCATTTCACTCTTCACAATCGTCATTTTTATTATAGTCCCGGATTTAAATTTTTGTAAAATGATTAACAATATAACGTCATAAACTTCATATTCCTATTCTCACCATTATGAAAAATTCAATAGAATTTTATAACTGTTGTTTGTTTATATTATTTGTTTCAACCAGAAATCTTCTTACTACTAAACTCACAGTTTTGCTGGCACTCCTGCGACTCGTTGACGCCAGTCTCCATCAAGTAGACAAGATCTTCGATGTCACAAGTTCGATCTTTCCCTGTAACAAGAAATTTACATACTTTTTAACGTCGAAAAAGGCCTAGCTGCCAAATTGGCCTTGTCTAGCATAGAAAGATTTATCACCGTTAAAGAGAGGTGTAGGTAAAGAGCATATACCCTTATCAACTTTTTATGCATAGATATCAATGATGTCAACTTGGCTAGTCCCAGTTTTCTTGTATAGGTTTCCACCGTTCCTCAAGGCGTAGGTGACAAGCACGCAGTTCCTGAGCTTCTTGTGGTATTTTTAACTACCCATAGACAATTTCCAAGTGCCTTGTCTAGTCTCTCACCGTTCCAGAAGGGGTATATGACCAGCACGCAGTTCCTGAGCTTCTTGTGGTACTTTTAACTATCCATAGATAATTTCCAAGTGCCTTGTCTAGTCTTTCACCGTTCCAGAAAGAGTAGGCGACCAGCACGCAGTTCCAGAGATTCTTGTGGTATTTTTAACTATCCATAGATAATTTCCAAGTACCTTGTCTAGTCTCTCACCGTTCCAGAAGGGGTAGGTGACCAGCACGCAGTTCCTGAGCTTCTTGGTGCACTTGTGGACGCTGGCGGCGTGGCAGTTCTGACCAACGACGGCGCGCTCTTCGTACGGCGCGTGGCTGGGGGTGCACGACAGCGAGCTGTCCCACCACGGCACGATGCTCTGATACAGGCCCGTGTTGTCATGCTGCCAGGAATAAATTTAGACTAAATATGTATTTCTTCTTATTATATATTGTATATATTTCCCCATATATGCATTAGTATGATCCGCTGTCGGGGTCGTCTCATTGTGAACGCCGCGAAAAACGTCCGACTCGTAGTGATTGTCCATGTTCTACCAAGTTACATTCGTAATACATTTAGTGATACGAAGGTGTGCTCGAAAAGCAATCGATGGATTTTACTAGTGAAATTCCTTCGTAGGCAGAGAAGAGTATTTATTATTGAATAAAGGAATATTTCCAACAGGAAGCTTTTTATTCAATTGAATATTGAACTGCTTCCCTGACTTACGAGGACTCACTGTTGGCTTGTATTCAGTACGACATTGATGTTCTGAGTTAGATATATGCATTAAGTTCAAGCTAAAATGAATTTAATATCAAATAATTTTTATATCATCAACATATAATTAATATATTTAAAATAATCAAATGTTTTCGATAATTACGGCTTACTTTGGAGTAGGAAACTGCCACCATAGTGCGTTCGCCTGTCGTTACAGGCACCAGCGAGGACACTTCAGAGTCATAGCCTTTGTCGTCAGATAAAATGTTGATCCGCAGTCCACTCTGTAGGATCGTCGCTCGATAATTCATGTAATTCCAGTCAAGAGCTGAAAAATTACATAATATTAAATTATTCGTTAGTAGAGATGTCGAATACACATAGAATAGAATAGTGACACCTTCTTGGAATACCATTATAGAATACTATGGAACACTATTATAGAAGAACACCATTCACACGTTGAAGAACTCCATTCTTCAACGATGTCATCTTTGAAAAATAAGTCATCAGGCCTGTCGCCGATTCAAAACATCGTTGAATTTACACAGCTTGCTGCTGGTCTCGAACAGGCAACTCACTGCTCCAATCCTGCTTTGCATTACCGCGTGATAACGTGATTACCTCGTCGACTTTGGCCTGAACTGTGACAGGATGCTGGAATCGAACACGCAACTCCATGCTCCAATAACAGTATACCTTGAACTGTAACCACTGGGCCACCCTTTGAATGAGGTTTCCTTCGACGTTACACGTACTCTATCTCGGATCTTGTTCTAGTTCTTTCGTGTCTCACTTACTAGATTTTTTGAACTCGGTATTCGTGTAGTTGTATCATTGCCAATAGTTAAAGTAAAGCAACACTTGCTTATTGAATTCTGAATTGGTTCTCGTCAATAGAACCAATATGGAATAATAGTTAAACAATTCACTCTGTTGTCTCATACAGTGATCTCGCTTAGACGAAGCAACAAAAGAGTAATGCATAAATTACACAGAAATAAGCCCCTCAGAACTGAAAGATAAACAGAAACGCGAGAAAAAAGACAGAAGTAGTAAAGAAAAATTACGCAACTGAAGGAACACTTTTCACAAGTCAAATTTTGTCCCTCATTCGTGTTATGGTCGTCTCCTATTACCAGGTGATCTGTTTTTCAGTGGCGTTAATGCCGATAATCACTGGAGATTCATTACTTCAAAATATCGCTGAAAGATAATTCAGTCCAACAAACAATCAGAGCTTATTGAGCTTGCATATACCCTTATTTACTTGCCTCTATCATATATTATTTTAGATGATAAATAATTGTTGCCTAAGGATGTGATCAGCATCAGTAATCGACATTGCGACCGGAAATGAAATGATCAACCTTCCTTGAATAAATTTCCATGTCGCCAAATGTAATCTTCGTTCTTCAACATCCCAGATTTTTTAAGGCTATTCATTTAAAATTTTTTAATAAATCGGTTCTTAATAAGCTGCAAGTTTTCGTGAACATAATATTTTTAGTGTTGAATATGACTGATAACTCTATCGTAAATTCAATTGTAATTTTTATGGACGAGAATCAACAAAATTTGAACGAGATTATTATTGTTGTCTTCATTGAAATAATCTCATAAGGTCGACATCCACTGTAAAAAAAAAATACAGAAAGAATAGCCTATTCTCACAGATGAGTTCGTATAACTTAGAGTAATTAAAATAAACTCGTCCTCTATTTAGACCAGGTCCACTTCTTTCCGGTTGCATGTGCCTGTTTACACTCCCTTATCGACCGAAGTTAATCATACCAAAGAGAGGTCTTACAATCGCGGCTTGAACAACACTACCGTGAACTGTCCTGTAAAGCAACTTTTCTCCGGTTTGAGTCGGTTCGAGTTGACACTCTGATGCTTCTTATGAGCTTCTATGTCTAGTAAAATGACACAGGACATATACAGTATATGAAACATTGCACTTCAAAGTTTCGATAATATCTCAAAGTATATCGTTGGGATTTGTCTTCAAAGTATAGTTCTATAGTCTAAATGTCAAATTTTAAATCAATACTAAATAAACTACAAGAATACTCAACTTGACATTAGCATATTCAACGTTGAGCCTTTTCAATAAACTAAAATAATGGCTGATTACAAGCCGCCTAGGAACATAAATTATAAACATTAACCCTTCCTAAATAAACCGTACTTTGAATTGACACTAAAAATAAATAACACTTCAATTAACCCTCTTATTGTGCCTACGAGTATAATTATTTCGAGTAGACAGTGGCGGTGTAAAATAAGAGAAGATAATAAACGGTGGTCAATACAAAGAGACAGGGGAGAGACCGTTGGCCGCATCCAGCCACCGTCGTCGGCTGATCCCTAACAAAATTCGGGGTATGCTTCATCTTCCGCCCCAGAGTTGCTATGTTCGCGTTAGAGTTATTCTGGGGTTGGTTGGCCACCTGATCGCAATCAGCGACTAGTCAGAACTTCCTTGCCGACTTTATAGTCTCCTGAGAGTAGGGCAAGAGTTGGCAGCAAAAGGGCCAGGCGCTTGTAGCTCTATGATTCGGGGACCGGAGTGTAGACCAAAAAGCGGGCATAGAGAAGCTGATTTATACGTTCGATCAGTCCGAGTCCTAGGCGGTTCCTAATTCAGGGTCACCACCAACTCAAAATTTTAATAGGGATGCTGCCTAAACGATGGCTGTGTACAAATGTTTTTATAACAGATTTGGGATTAATGGTATGAGGAAAGAGCATAATAAAACACGGCCAAATATTCTCCACATTTTGAGCTATTGCTTAGCAAATCATAGGATTAATAGGTAATTTTATCGAAGAAATAAATAACTGAATCTACAGTTTCCCAATTCTTGAGCCTTCCTTAAAAATTAAATTCAATTCTTGCTATATAGACTTTAGCGTAGATATCGTTGTATCAAATCTCCACACCCAACATTTTTTTATACTGAACTATTTGATATGCAAATAGGTCAGCAGGCTATGAACGGACTCACACGTGCACATACAGAAACTATCACAACTCTGGTAAAATTATACGCGACGACAAAAATGCTGACCATATTTTTCCCTTCTCTTTTCCTTCATAGAAATAGTAAAGTCAACTGAACAACAAAAAAGGAGTCCATCATAGGCAACAGTCTTAAGTCCATTAATTTATTTTAATCTCAGTCGATTCTAACTATTGTGTATATATAGAAGAATATACAATCAGATAGTCAAAGCGAAGATAATGTGATAATGCAATAAATATTCATTTTCATAGTGAATATACATAGCAGCGATTGTCGTTATCGATCGATAGCGAATTTACAACATAAACAGTGAATGTAAGTGGCAGTCATCACTGATTATTTAGTAAACCGCTATAGGTGACTTATTCCAATAATTTTAAATTATTCGTCAATAAAGACGATGAATGCTCAGTTCAGATAATTTTTCTCCTAGTGGAATATCTATTATGATGCAACTGAAATTTTGTAGCGGTAAACTGCAACAAATCTTTACAATATGGTGTGGGTCGAGGATTAATTGAATATTAGCGCAAAATAATTTCATTCTTAGCTGGTAAAATGCCAACTACACTAAATTCAGTTTAAACTTACCAAGCTGTTGCACAGGCACGCGGAGATGCATGCTGAGTCCAGCAGCTACCGCTTCTCTCTCCTGAAGAACCTTGCGCGATGTCACGAACGTTAGCCTGGAATTAATAACCAACAAAAGCGTTCAAAAGACTCAACTGCTATTGTGAACAATATCCAAATTGCTCACCTCAAATGTCAAAATTACTAATAGAAACCTCAAATGAAATTCAATTAAAACGATCATCCATGTTTTTCTCAATTATTTCTCAACCGTATGTTCTATAATATGTAAAAAGTACGGCATTTGATATGAATGGAAATATCTAACGTTTTTCTTCAAAGTACCCAACCTAACCTCAGCAAAGTAGAAATAGTGAATGTACTGTGCCGACTTCACAGGGTGAACTTTTTTCCTAGCATAACATTACATAACATAACTTAAATTAGTGATGTCGGCGCTGAAGTGTAGGCCTGAAGTGGCCTCTCGCCGATTCTTCTACTTTTCGTGCCTTGTACACAAAAGGTCTAAAATCGTGTCATTTGACCCAATCTTTCCAGGACTGACGATAGTTTGAAACAGCTACTAGACTTCCACCGGGTTCGATATGGTGCTATTTCAAGTCTGAACATATATTTTTCTATAGCTTTATCTAGTCTGTTCTTGAACGCGTTCCTACTTGGCGCGCCAACGAGGCTGTTGGCGCTCCATCAGGGAGGCTGTTCCACGTGTCGGATATTCAAAGCGAGAAGAAATATTGTCGCGTGGATAAGTTGAACCGCAGTTTTTTTAGTTTATAGTTGTGGCCCCTGGTGTTGGTTCTTGTTTCAAATTCTAGAAATCTTTCGGGACCTTGTATAAACCATGAATATACTTGTATACTTCAATGAGGTCCCCACGCAGACGTCGATAACTGAGGCTTGGAAGCTTCATAATCTTTAATCTTTCTTCATAGGACTTGCCCTTCAAGCCTGGGATTATTCTTGTTGCACGTCTTTGAATATTCTCTATTAAATTTTTGTCCTTTTCAAATCTCGGTGACCACACAACGTTCCCAAACTCTACATTCGGGCGCACGACAGTAACACACAACTGCTTCATCGCTTTTGCATCTAGGAACTCGTATGAGCGTCTGATTAGTCCAAGAAGTTTGTTGGATATGTTAGCTTGCGTTTCAACATGCTTAGAAAATTTCAGCTCCTTGTCGACATAAACTCCGAGATCTTTTTCCACACTAGACTTCTCAATCCTTACTCTCTGATTGCAACCATGTCTTTTCATACTGTAAACTTGCTGTTCATTGTTCTTCCCGAGGTGAAGTACTTTTCACTTGTATGCATTAAATCGCAGCTGCCACGCGTATCAGCCCAGTAAACTAAACTGTCAAAATCATCTTGTAATTGCGCTTTATTTGACGCATCCTTCACTGTATTATAAACTTTTGTGTCGTCGGCATACATGGAGCGCACGCTGGACACTGCGTCTGGAATAACGATCTTCCAGTAGGTACACGAATCACAAACGCACATGAATATTCTTCAATTGGATTAGATTCTTGTAATCACTCGTTGACAACTGACAGTTCTAAAAGGCGTAATTATAACCTCGGGGTATGAGTCTCAACAAGACGCAAAGCAGTGAGTAACGTGGGTATGAGCCACGCCGAACTCGCATGCGTAAACTCACCCCAGGTTGCCGAGCACAGTGATGAAGTGTTTCTCGCAGCACTCTTGGCCCGAGAGGAATTCGTGCTTAAAAACACAGTCGATGATGAGGTCCTCACACCTGCATGAAAGGAAAACAAAGTTCAGTTGCAAACTATCCAAATATCTTCTGCAAAGAATCTTTATCGGAGAATAAATAACCAGCTTTTTGTTTGATAATAGACAATCAAAATTTAAATGCAATGAAATGCAGTTTGAATTGAGAACTAAGCATGTGAAATTGGAGATTGAGGTCAACATATATGGCAAAATTTTGGCGCCAACTTGTCGTTCCCTGTTCCAGAACTTGTAATTTCTCATTTGGATGCGGCGTAATTGTGAGTCAAACAATTTACTTGTATGCCAGTATCCGCCAGATGTCCCTCTCCGTAGTGTTAAGGCGCTTGAGGAGTTCGTGGTAGTCACGGTTGGCTGTGTTAGCGTTGTTGATGAGGTGTTCTGTGAAGGCGACCTTGCCAACCATGACTGAAGACAACAGTGAAGCTTCGTACAATGAGACGTTGAACTCTACGGGAAGAGCATGACACTTTACGCTCGCCAGCATTAGTAACTTGAGCCTGTTGAAAACCTTTAATTCCCCTAGGGGAACCATATTTTATTGAGAATTACTTGCTAGAAAAAAGGCTCCCAGTAGAAATACGTGCAATAAAATATGGTTCCTCTGGGAATAACTGTCAGAAATAAGGTTCCCAGTGAAAATATTCTAAGGTTTAAAGAAACCTACCTATCATTTGTAATATTGAAATTTTGGATTTAACGATTTGGAAGATGCTCTGGATTACAGTAGGCCACATGGCATATACGAGGTCATTCACTCTGATGTATACCAAATAATGAGAACAAAAATAAATTCGCTGTATAATACGATGGTATCCAAGATGCATATCATCAAATTTTTTCACAGTGCACTGAAATTTGAATTATCTGTATTTATTTGAAAAAATATTTATCTTGAAATTTTCATACCCAACTCTTATGCTGAAATTGTAATTTTTTGTCTCAAATTAGATTGCAAATGTTATCAACGGCATCATATATAACTCTTCTTATTATGAAAGTAAACTGTCTCATGCCATCCGCTTTACAGTTATAGCATCATAACTATATTTATTCTCAAATTGGCAAATGACATCCACAATTATTTATGCTAATAAGTATAAACTAATTAATGAAATTAATTTATGTTACTTAAAATTGATGATTGGGATGATGAAATTGCAACTTCACCGTGAATTGAAAATCAATGAAAACGGGAAGTCAATTTACAAAATCTTAATTGAAAACGTTTCGGGTACTAACATGTAAACTTGCATGTTTCATACATGAATAATTAGATCATGAATCATGTTTTATAGATTCAGGTATTAGGTTGTTATTCCTGCCCGAATAAAATCTACCCTGTTTTGTGAATGTAGTTGTGCCCGGCGCGCATCAGCTCCATCGGAATGATGTCGCGTAATTACTAATTCCGGTTCCTCGAACGCAGCGACAAAAGTTATCGCTCTAATATGTCACATGCCAAACCGTTACAGTCTACTGTGCGCCTTCACGCTCATAGTGATTCGAATGTGAGAATTTTGAAATCGCTGCTAACTTTTAGACGAAAACCTTTTCAATGACAACGATTACAGTTCTTGTCCACTTAATTAATTAAGTGGATAACAAGTTCGTAATTAATCGTTGGCTATTTTTGATCCGTTTTTGGCCTTTCATTACTGAAATTTTTATCTTTCTCGTGTAAATTTGTTTTTCTCTTATGATTGTGCTCGTATTCTCTAAATTTCAATTGATTTTGAAGCTGGTCTCCAAATCGTCTTCAATGATGATATGGTGAATTTCTTCTTCTTTTGATCTTTCTTGGAGTTTTAATTGCTTTTAAATACTTGCTTGGTTTTTAATGTTTTTATCATTTGAACGGTACATCATCGCCTTTAACCAAAGGACGTGAAGCAAAATAAATCATTCTGTAACAGTTAAATATATATATGAAAAAATGAGTTCACAGACCGTGTAAATAATATGTTCACTGACCGTGAAAATCACACTTTCACTAACCGTAAATGAAGCGTTGACTTACCGCGCAAATAACGCATTCACTGAACATAAACATAACGTGTTCGCTGACCGTGTGAATAAGTCGGGCGTTTACTGATCGTGCAAATAGTGCATTCACACGGTGCAAAAAATGCGTTTACTCACCGTGTAAATAAGTGGTTCACTCATTATACAAATAAAGCGGTCATTCAGCGTGTAAAAAATGCGTTCACTCACTTTGTGAACAACACGTTTACTCACCATGTAAATAACGCTTTCACTCACCATGTAAAGCGCTGTAGTTGAAGAAGCCCGCGTTGCTCATCATGAAGCGTGGCAAGTAGAGACCGTTCCTTGACATCTGGATTGTCCTCACCTGTATAGGTCAACTTAGAATGTATGTCATTTCCAATCAGCATTCTCTCTCAGAATTAATTATTTTAAATTTATCAGGTACAAATAAGGCACAATCTTTCAACGCGCTTACGTCAAGTCTTAAACCCATCTCCTAGAGCACATTAAAGTTTAGTCATCCAATTTGATAGTACATCACATGATTTCAAACCCCCCTAACCCTATGGTGTTTCAGTGTAGTAAACAGCTTCTTGCTTTGAGTATTTCATAATGAGGTTGTGTGTTGGTTCAAGAATTTACTTAAGAGTTAAATTTGTGGCCCACGACTGGACTTTTCTTACAATACGTGAAATCCATTGTCATATCTCACTATACTCTCATAGTATTTCGTATGCATCACGACTACTAAGTACTCACCTTAGTCTCGTAGTAGCCCGGATGAAACATCTCTCGCATCATGGCGAAGCTGATGCTTATGCCAATGACTGACCAAATTACCGCCATGACGACCTGGGCACACGTCATGTTTCCGTTGTACTTTCGCATTCTACTCGAGTGTTCGCGCCTCGACGTGTGCCTCGTAAATAACGTCATCAGAGTCCATAAGAAATTCAACGTCGACTTTTCCATTGGCTCTTGATCATCTTGCTGCATTTAAGACAATTTATGTGATTGTATTAATTTACGTAACTACGCAACTAAATACTTATTATGTATTAATATATTATGATCTTAATTAACCCTCTACCGCCGTATGTCACTCTATGGGAAAATAACTTCAAACTTAAATTATACGTAAACCATTGCGTGTAACAACCTGAGGACGTTCGTACGCAACAATTTAAAGTTGTCGTACGTGGCGGCAACCATCAGTGCAAGTCATTTTGCGCTCACCAGAACGTATCCTTTTTGGGAAGTAGGCTTGTGGCAATATTGCTCCGGTTACTCAGGTCAGGCGGTAGAGGGTTAACAGTCTTATTTCGGGTCAAACTAAGCGCGGAATCAAGTTAAGATATCAGCAGTCGATACGTCATAAATTAAATACACACAGCTAAAAATTGTTCATATGCACTCCTATCTTACACCGACATGTGGCTTATGTTTCCTCTGCAGTTTTTCAAATAATGTCATGCCAAATGATATAACGGAGTCTGAATAATTTAGTAAACGAACAGGTTAGCTTGGCGTTGCCCTCAATCGATAGTCCCAGCTACCCCATAATTTTAAGGATATGCAATGATTTCTTTATTCCACTTCTTACATGGAACATAGAACTTTCATTTGGTTGAAAGTTGTTAAATGCAAAAAATGTATATATGTTTGGGATTAAATTTATATTAACAATTTTTAAAAATCGTGGTTTCATTTCTTGACCCAGCTTTTTCCCGCTCAGTTTTAAGATGTCTTACTATTTTCACACTAGGCGTCCAATTTCATGTCCAAGAAATATTCCAACCAGATGAATATGGTGCATACGCACCCGAAAAAACCCTTCATATTTGCGGCCCAGGCAAATATGAAGGTGCTTGAATATATAATAATATGCGTTTAAAATTTAATTTTTAAAGACCACACCTCTAAAGAAGCCGGTGTCTCCAATGTTGCACATGTACAATGGATTTCTCATTTTATTTCTAAAAATTTAATTTTTTTACTTGCCTAAATTATTTCTTATTCTGTAATTGCTTCATGCATTGTCTCCGACTTTACGCAAGTGTGCAAAATTTCATTTCGATTGGACAGGTAATAATGTGTTAAATATCGATTATAAGATTTGTAGCAGACAGACAAACAACAAGAAGTGAAGTTGAATAGAAGTGTGGTAAAAACAGAAATAAACCTGTAAACCTGCACTCACCGCCTGTCCTGAGTCACTTGTTAAAAATATTTCCTGGCTGGAGTTGAGTTCTTTCGTAGATGTGGGCAGCCATGGGATAGATGTTACTGAATTATCTTCATCAAACATTGTTATTTCAATGAATTTTTGTAATTAGCCGTGCATTAGATAAATCTGAAGTTTCAAATACGTTAAAAAATAAATTGCTTCAAAATTTGGGACTGCAAGCATGTTTACTTTGTGATTATTCGTTAACCTTCAAATCAAATTTATTGAGGCTAAAGAATCCTTAAACTAAATCATTCTTCTTATATTCATAATAATTCTATTCATTCTATTTATATATTCTTATCTACAGTAGCTCTTTTTCAACCCTGCAATTCGAAGACTCATAAAAAGTCAACAATGCATTAAGAAACTCAAGGCAACCGACTTTTTAGAACTTAAATAGAATTTGTATTTATGTCTTAAATTCCATCTAGTAAAAAGAACAATTTACATTCAATATTTACAATTCAGAATTGATATAATTCAAAATTGATTTATTGATATTTTTTGCTTTCGAGCATATGCTTCTTTACAGGCTTCCTATGATGACTGCAATCGTCAATTATTATTCCGTATAAATTCTTATATGATTGTATCCTGAAGGTATGTAAAATATTCTTCGTTCTGTAACCAGATAACCTAGTTCATCTCTAAAATATTGAGCACAATCGCAAGCAGATCTTCCAATCTCAGCCCTATCCTATTTACAACATGAAATTTAGAGACCAATCGAAACATTTTCACCTTGCCTACAAGAGTTTGATGTGTTTTCTACAAGAAGGAATCTGCTCTAATGACGCGGTAAGCAACGGACTGGCTTTATGAATCTCTTCTCCCATAAATCCCTATTACAGTTCTTTGTACGAGCGTTCCACAATGAACTGGGCATTGATCGTTAGTACAAAGAAATTTGCTTTTTATGTCAAGTTGAAGAAACAGTGATGCGTAATATTGAGGTTATCTACATCGCCGTACGTCAGAGTTGAGTGAACCACACATTTGGGATCAACGTTAAATTCTTAAGCTCGCTTTTCTAGGTACTTGCCGTTTTCTTCATTCATAATGAAATAGCTTGGCGGTTAGGCAAACGACACTAAAAATCTTACGATTATTTGATTTGAGCAAAAATAATATAGTTTAGCCTATAACACAAATATGAACTGTTATTATCATTCGAAAAAATGCCCTACTAATCTAGGAATCGATTTTATTTCTTTTAGCGTTTTTCTTCGCTGGGCTACAGTAGGATAACTGAAGAAAATATCAAGCTTTCTTCATTAACGATTTAGTTTAAAAATTAGATCAGTTTCACTTAAAGAAAATACAAAAATATCATAGCCTGTGCTCCCTAAAGTCGAGAAGACAGAAAGTTGAAAAATTAATCACGCTATTTATCTTTTACTCTGTAGAGGATGAACAGCGTGAATTCCTTTACTAAAAGCAAGGAATATCTTCTTATTCAGATTTTCAGACTGTCCATGCTCTACGTCGGCGATAGAGAATATGCTTGGTTGTTCACATTGCTTGAGGTATCTGTGAAGTATATACACATCTGACAATTATTTGAGCATCTTATTGTGAATTTGGTATGTAATTTAAAATCTATATTAACGCAGGTAACAATTCTTGTGTCTCAATTACAGCTGTAGAGAGTCGTCGTTATTTATTCCAATAGAGAATAAAAGAGCAAGCGTATTTTTTAGAGTGCAAATCATACAAAGGAATATACAAAAAATACTGGGAAAAGAGCATGTAACGAGAGATACGATAGAATAGTAAAAATTAGTTTATAATTCAATGATACCTATAAATTATAATACGACAACTTGTTCGAAGACCAGGTAGTAAGTCTTTTTGACAATTTTTCTCGATTCTATGGATTATACTTATAGTGGGATCTATAAGTAGAACGTTAAGTGTTGCAAAGGACATTTTATTTCTATTCTCACTAAAGAACTTTCAGATCCGACCAAAAATGTTTTCGGCTGAATCGAGAAAAGCTATGACACACACTTTATGATCTTCAGCAAAAGTTACATAAAACTACCGTCGAACAATACCAAAAATAATAATAACCAAATGCAAGAAATTTAACCGAGTATGGAAACACAATGAATGGTTAGATAATAATGCACATTGATATGCGGCGAATATTAACATTGAACAGCGAATAAACTCTAGCGCTGCAATGACTTCAATTAGCCAAACGATGATAATAGTTTCGTGCATGCTTGAGGTACTAGTCAAGTAAATAAACTTTGAAAATAAAATATTTTCAGAATGCGGCCATAAATCAGTGCTATGTCAATGAGGAAATAAAATCAGCTATAGTTTGAAGCAGAAGCAGGGGGTTTATTCACTATTCAGTGCTACAGATCTCTCCATTTCGATGAATAGAATGTAAATTGTTAATTGTTACCATTATAAATTATTCTTCGCTTCAAAAATACAGACCTGTTGGAGCATTTGAATTCCTATCTTTTTACTTGAAAAAAATGTCTCGAAGATTGAACTTTGAGTCTCGCAAATTTCGAGCCACGAGCCAAACTAAGAAGCGACGAGTAAGACCTGGAACGATTCTATGGCCTTGTACCGGACTGGCGCATTTCACAGCAGTATGAGAATTTCTAATAATGAATGGCTAACTTTAAGAAATTTTTTAATGCATTCTACTTAAGACTTTTATTTGAGCTCAAATTTATTAGTCCTTGTCTTGGAAATTCCTTGCAAAACTGTTTCTTGCTTCCAAGATGCGTTTTTCTGACTTATCTTGAAAAATGCGAAGACGGTTTTTCTGGTCTTGTTTCTAAAGATGAGATTTGCATCATGTGTTCGTCTTGTAGTAGTCATGCGGATATGAAGAGAGAAGACTAATCAAGACAACTCACAATTTAAAATATCAAAGAGTTCGGGTTTTCACTTACTTTTTATTACATCGTAAAATTTGAGTGTGAGGCTCAATTTGAGTGTGAGGCTCAAACCCATAATAATTGTTATTAACTGCCAAATTATAATTATTAATTAATTGCATTCCTATCTGTGCATTTATTAGCTGCATTTACCTTTAACGATTAACAGCTGTCGCAATTTCTCATACTTTGATTATAAAATGTGATTCTCAATTAATATTTTGGTCAAACCAGATGGCCAAAAGCTTTAAAAAATTTAAAAGAAATTAAATTTCATTTCAAATAAAATTTAATACAAAATTTGCCGTTGTTTTGTGAAGTTTCAACGTGTTTACATAATATTATCAACGAGAAGGAAGTGTTCGTTTTGCAATAGAATACTGCCCAGTGCTTGAACATGAACAATGAATATGCAAAATAGAGCTATTTTAGATTGAGAGCATTTCACAAGTTCATAGTAACATCAAAATTCGATAAGCTTCATTATTAAATAAATGAAACAGCTACGAGATATATCTAAAATAAATATATTTTAGAGTGAGAGGCATTTCACAAGTTCATAATAATATTACAATTCGCTAAGATTCATTATTAAATAAATGAAACAGATATAAGACGTGAGACAACTTCGAGAATCCCTGATGTTGCACAAAGGACCTGACACAATTCCTCCTTGCATTGAACACATTAGGAATATGAGGAACTTTTTTACCGAT